TGTGCCATAAGAATTTTTAAAACATGCGATTTCTATTTCTAGTCATGCACTGACCTTTTTTCCCTTAGATTGTAAAATAAATAAATAAATAAATAACAACAGCCAACACAACAATAGCAATTAATGCCTTGTCTTCAACCATAAATATATAGGTCATATAATTGCTCATGTTGCATAAGGCATAAATTTACATATACATAGATATTTCCATATGTATAAATGTATGTATTTAGATTTACTATGTAATTTTAGTTAAATGACAGAATTTTTAAACCTAATTGCAACATATTTGTAACTAGGATCTGACTTTCTTCTGGAAATGGTTCAGTTTTCTAGAAAAAGTAGAAATGGCCATATGGAATAACTAAGATTTTAGCTCACATCAATACATAGGTTACATAGGTGAATTATTTTTCTTGTCAACAGGCTTTGGATGAAATTTTAGGAATTGTATTCTATATAAATGGCCAAAATTCTGAAATATGCTAACCTATTAACACAGGAGAGAAATCACAGGCAAATTAAATTGATACTCTTCTAGAAAGCATATTCCCATTTTGTAGATCCTGAAACTTGCAGAGAAAGGGTATAGTATTTTTCAACTCAATATACTACGCACTACCTTCCAGGAACTTGTGTTTCCTTAATTGAAGTTAGAGTACACAATGTTAAATTCTCTAAAGAACAATGACAAAGAAAAAAGAACTTAGAGCCCAATAAGAAGAGCAGGTGCTTGGAAAGATTGAGATATGATAATATGCAAGTTGCCTGATATAATTCCTATCACACAGTAAGAACTAAAAAAATGACAATTTATATTTTTTTCACCTCAATTTTTGTACAACTTTGCTATTATGAATAGTTAAAAAATTCCTAAAAATTTAATTTAGATGATTAAGATGTCTGAAATAAATTAAAGCATAACTGTTCTTTGATTACAGAACACTAACTTAGTTCTTTAGCATGTTCTCCTACAGTGTAAATAGCACTCAATTAAGTTCTTTCAGTATAGAAAATATCTGTTAGGTATTTGAGATTTATTAATTGCTGTGTCATAGTATTCAAGGCATGATGTAATAAATCTTCTAACAGGAAAGTTTATTGTATGGATCACTCCATATAAAGTTATTAATCTAAATTAAAATACTAGACATCTCCAGTGATCCAACTGGTGGATTTGTATTGTACAAGATTTATGAGTGTATATAGCTTTACATGTTAAAAACTGCTACAAACTATTAGTGTACTGAGAATTTGTTACTTGTAAAAATAGACCCTACATATAATTATTGAATTTTGTAACTTTATGAAAATAACAAAAGATAACTAAATATTCTTAAGATATATAAATTAGTAGAGACTGGTTTGGCTCAATGGATAGAGCGTCGGCTTGAGGACTGAAGGGTCCTGGGTTCGATTCCGGTCAAGGGCATGTACCTTAGTTGCGGGCATATCCCCAGTAGGGGGTGTGCAAGAGGCAGCTGATCGATGCTCATCGATGTTTCTAACTCTCTCTCTCCCTTCCTCTCTGTAAAAAAATCAATAAAAAATATATTTAAAAAAAAGATATATAAATTAAATTATAAAATGTATGGTTTAATTCATTGCAATTAAAACAATTTTAAAGAAACAGTCACATTCGCATAATCATATTTTACGTTATATCCCAAAATGAAGACAAATAAAGTCTAGAACAAGAAAATAATTTAGTTTCTCTAGATGATCAAAGTTGATTGTCAACTTCTGTCAAAGACTTTCTATTTTATACAAATAAAATGAATCTAAGGATAAAAACTATAAATATATAAGTAGATTTAATACTTTTAATTGGTATATGTACTATATCTCAATAAAGCCGTTATTTAAGAAAAATACCTGCCATAACTCCTTTCAAAAACCCCAAATTCTGGTGTAACTGTATTATTTCTCCTAAATACTTACATTTTAGTTCTTTATTCTATAGGAATCACACACACACACACACACACAAGAATACTTTCACAATTTAAATTTCTTCTTGATAACTAATTTTGCCAAAAAATAGCATCAATTCATTTGGATATCTTTTTTGTACTAGGAAATAGTCTTTCTCTTAATTACTGAGAATCTACAGTAATAGTATTCATAAAGTCTTTATTTCTAAAACTTTTACTAATTCACATGTTGAACTTCAAACTCTTAACTATCTTTTTGGAGAGACAAAAACAGAGGTCTTTAAAAAAAATGGTGAGGAGTAAAAATTTCAAACTGGTGGTTTTCCACTACACCTCCCAGATTTTGACACTTGATCCTATGCAGAGGGGAGGACTTATGGAGGAAAGGTAAGTCCTCTTTCCCCAACTCTCAACCCCTGGGACTTACCGGATAAAAGATGTTATTGCTGGGAGAATGTAAAAGTGGAACTAGTGTAGAAGTAAAAAAAAGATTTGAGAGACACTTTTATCCAATATTCTGGATTATGGATTAGCAGCACCATGTTTACTCATTCCTTCAGTAATATGTAAAGGAAAAATATCTAGTTTGGTGAATCTGAGAAACACATTTTAATAATTAAATAATAAAGAATTTACATAACACCTGCATGCCCAGCCTCTAAATTTCAAAATTGATTTAAAACTTGCAAAACACAAACCTTTATGGCAGAACTAGAAGTCTGTTCCCACCAGGCCCTCATAACTGATAGCAGCCAATCCGGCTCCTTCAAAACTCTGAAGAATTAACTACATCAAGAGTCATCATTTTTATGCATTTCATACTTAAACAGCAAATGCTATAGATTAAAAAATAAAACTCACAGAAGTCTAAATTAATGTGTCTTTCCCAAGAAATTTAGTATTTTGGCCAGAAAATACTGAGTTACTGGTAATTTACTCTAAATCTCTCGCTTTGACAATTATGTCACTGAGGATATTATTAGTTTAATATAAAAGGCAACTTCAATAATATATACAAACTGATCTCCCTACAATAATTATTTTGTAATTTAAACTCTCTTATTTATAATTTTTATGACAAAGACTTTATTCTGCGAATAAGACATTAGAATCCTAGAATAAGACTATGTAGGTTACTAAAACTAAATTTATGTTTTAAAAATTACAAATGACTTGGTTTTAGATCACAGAAACTTTCTGTGTGAGAATATAAAAAAACTGTTAAGGTTACGTCCTTACTCTCTTCACCATCATTTCAAAGTTAATAACTTTCTCAATCTAATAAAAAATGTATTGCTTCAGAATACTTTCTGAGTTAATTCTTTTATTTTCAGGATTTTTCAACTAATAGCTTTCAATCTAATTTATCTGGAAAGGATTTTCTCAAATATGTGGAGAGAGGGACAGAGGGGTTAGAAAAGATCAACATTCCATTAGTGACCCAAATTCAAGAACTTTCAATATTTATATATAAAACTTCTGAAATTCAGTTTGGTACTATTTAAAAGGCAATGTTGTTCTTTTCCAAAACCAAGTTAACATTTTTTCAGCTTTTAAAAGGAACTGGATCTACTGTCAACACATGTTTAAAAGCACAGAAGAAACAGACTTTTAGTTCTATTCAGATTCAACATATCTTTAAGAAACAATCTCAAAAAATACAGAAGAAATCAGTTAGTCAATATCTACCTGTGGACTTAAAGTGAAATATTTCATTAAAAAGTATTTTTTTCATATTTTGTTGTCTTAAATAAATTTTAAACTAGTTTAAAGCTTTAAATTCAGAAAAGATATTCAGGGACATTTTAGAACCCAGTGGCTATAAAGTGAAACCAGGTCATCTCACAATTTCATTACTAAAACGTTCACAATTAAATCCACAGTATCTGTTAGAAAATGTCTGGCAACACATGAACAGTGAGCAGGGCTGATAAATTTCTTTGCCATGTAGAATGTTTTCCGGCCCTCAACTAGGAAAGCAGCAAACTGCACTGTTAACTAAGGAGAAAGATTGATATACAAGGCTAATGGTACATAGGTTAACACATACAAGAAAAATATCTGAAGTTCTACTATAGTACCAATACCCTCATTTAAATAACAACCTTTCACTTCACTGTTCTTTTGAAACAAAAAGAATTTTCTGAAAACAATGTTCTGATGGACTTTAAGTAACACTTGAAAAGGTGAGAGGTATCATATTAGACAAAAAAAACCTCTAATGAGTAGGACAAATAAAACTTCAGAGTCTGTAATTTTTTTCCTTTTTAAAAGCACTTAGCAGTCTATAAACCCAACTAAAAGAAAAAAACAGTTGGGCAATTTAATTTTTAAAAGCATTCATATTAATTTATGACTAATCAAGACTTTTCTGTTAGCTTGTCTGTCAATTCTTTATTCTAATTCGATCAAAATTTGAACCAGCTTTATATAATCTGATTATATAATTATAAAGTGTATAATTTGAGAGCTTAGTAAAAATAAGTTTGATAAACTTTTAAACATTAATTTCCACATTATAAATTGATATAAAATGTCTTTATATAAATATTATATTCAAATCTTCCATTACTTTCAACCGATTTTAAATAACTATAAAGCCACATGTTTTCAAATGTAGAAAAAAAGATTACAGTAATGTGTTACAAACAAAAATTGAGTGCTTGAGTCTTTTTTCAGATTATACAAAGTAAAATATTTTTTCTTTTTTTTAAAGCAAATTAAAAAAATAAATTTTAAATATAATTTAACAAATGTAATTTTCCATCCATGGCTTGATATTTAACTTTCTTATGTGCAGTCAACAAAAGAGCTTTAAATTCATTTCCATAACTGAATACAAGGTCCATTCTCGGAGATGGAACTAATAGATGTGCCAATGTGAAATTTTAAGAAATAATAATTATATCGATAAAATTATATTGAAAAATTTTAAAGTACATATTTTAAAACCTCCTAAAATAAAGCCTCAAATCACACTCTTTTTGACATAAACTTTACCAGCACTGTTCATGTTGGCCAGATTATACCCTAGTTTTCTTTAATAAAGTAAAATGAAATGCATACCAGCAGCAACTACAGCTGGAGGAGGCGAGCCTGCCTCACCACCACTTGTTTGACTCATTGATGCTACAGTTGTTTCTCTAGATGGAGGTAACTGTAACTCCTTTGGGAGAAGATCATAGACAGATTCTGTAGGGGAGGGAGAAAAAGTTTTGAAAAGAGTGTAAGTAAACAGACCTGATTACAAATATGTCTTTCACGCATGAGAACTGTATTATTTATATACAAACTCACAAACTCCATAAAATTACTGTCGTAAAAAATTACTGGCAAATTTTTTTTTATTATATAAAATTATTGAACAGAAGAATAAATTTTCCATTAGTTCTAACCTCTGTTTTCTTTTTGGCTTTATCCTTTATGCTAAAGACAATCTTGAGAAAAGTTATGAAATTTTAAAGCTGCATAAAACTAGAGAGAATAGAAAGTCGAATAACCCAAGATGTTCCATTATCTCTTTGTATAATAATGAGTGTAACTACTATCTTTCATATATTGAGATAGCAATATTAGATAGTATATTAGTTTTAAGATGCCTTCTCCAATTAGACCATTAGTCTAGTGCTGCTCTTCTATATAGTACTTTTTAGCCAATATTTTAATTTGCTATCATAATGCATTTTTCCTTCCTAATTAAGTTAAAAAAAAATGAATGTCATGGCTCAAGGAAATTTCTCTCTGAGAAAATTCCCAATTCTAAAAAGGTACAGATATAGAATACTCTTAAATCAGAAAGCAATATTGCCTATGTTATATTATGATTACTTTTATATCCAAGATTAAAGAATACTTTCATTTTTTTTCTTTTTTGTTAATCCTCACCTGAGGATATTTTCCCATTGATTTTTAGACAGAGTGGAAGGGACGGGGAGACACAGAAAGAGAGAAACATCAATGTGAGTGAGACATATCAATTGGTTGCCTCCCGCACATGCCCCGGGCCAGGGATGGATTCTGCTACAGAGGTATGTGCCCTTGCCCGGAATCAAACCCAGGACCTTTCAGTCCATGGGCCAATCCTCTTCCACTGAGCCAAACATATTTTTTTAAAGATGTTTTTACTGGTTTTATTTTTTTAATTATTATTGAAATTATTACATATGTCCCTCTTTCCCCCCCACCATTTACTTCTTCTAATCCATCCCCACCCCGTTTTTATTGGTTTGAGAGAGAGAAAGGGAGAGGGAGAGAGAGGAAAATTGAGAGAGAACCATAAGCTGCCTCTTGCACATCTCTTACTGGGGATCGGGTCAGCAACCTGGGCATGTGCCCTGACTGGGAATCAAACCAATAACCTCTAGGTGCATAGGATGATGCTCAACCAACTGAGCCACACCGGCCAGGCAAGAATATTTCTTTACAGTGTATTTTATATACTCTAATTATTCATAGAATTAAATTTATATCTACTGTTTAATAAGGTTTTTTATAATAATTATTATATCATTTTGGGAGAGAAAGATTTCTCAACATATCCTCTAAAGAATCAATGTTGGAAGAATCTCAAAAAAACAATTAGAATCATATACCCAGTTTCCAAAGAACCAAGGCATAGAGGTTAAGGGACTTACCTAATATTTCATGAAACTCAACATGCCAACAATTAAAAAAGGTTACTAATTATATGAGTGATTAAAATACCACAGGTAACTATATAATACATTCTTTTAAATTTACTTTTTATTAAGATATTATATGTGTACATACCTTACCAATTCCCATCCCCCCTCAATGCCCAAACATGCCCTCCCTCCCCAATATAATACATTTTAGCATTGGTAATAAAAAATACTTTTAGTTAACTGATTACTGAATTCATAAATACTTTGATCCTGTCTGTTAACCATTAAAGCATGTATGTTAACTTTTATGTGGACAGGGATAAGGAAGAATGTTGTGAAGAAAGCTAAAATCAGAAGTTATACTATTAAATGATCTTTACTTACAGTAAAGAATCAACTTAGCCCTGGCTGGTGACTTGACTGAAGCATTGTCCCATAAACCAAAAAGGTTAAGGGTTCTATTCTTGATCAGAGCACATACCTAATTTGCAGGTTCCATCCCTGGTTGGGTATGTACAGGATGCAACCAATTGATATCTCTTTCTCTTTCTCCTCTTCCCTCTCAAATTAATAAAAACATATTCTTTTTAAAAAGATTAAAAAAAGAATCAATTTAAAAGTTTCTTTTGAAAAACTCTATTACCTATCTTGTAATTTACATCTTCAAAGAATTTGGCAAATTCGACATCTACCTAACTATTATATGCTCTAACTCAAAAGTTTCAGCTTATTAAAATGTTGCTAAAAGCCTTAAGTAAATTATTTCTATCTATCAAATAATATAGGCATCACCTCATACCTGTCAGAATGGCTGCCATTCACAAATCACCCAACGACAAGTGCTGGCAAGAATGTGGAGTATGTAATCCTATTTCTCTCCTATCTTTAATAGATATAAAAGGCTAATATGCTAAGTGTCTATTTGACCAGTAGCTTTGACATGCACTGACCACTAGGAGGCAGACACTCAATGCAGGAGCTGCTATTACATGCACTGGCCATTTACAGAGAAATGGCACCATGGACTTGGCACCCACAAAGCAACACTCAACTTCCCCCAAGTGGGACACAGGCTCCGCCATCACTCCGAGTGACAGCCCACCAAATCACAGCCAATGTTGCTAAGACCCTATGGCGCAAAATACAGCCCACAACCCAGCCCAGCCCAACCCAGAAATGGTTACTGTGGGCACCGGGTAATGATGTCACAGAGCAAAGCCCAGCTTCCTTTCCCTAGCAATTAGCCTCCGTGGAGAGCCCAGGAACACGACTTGCTTTATAGCATGGTGAGAACATTTTACACTTTAAATGTCTGAAGTGTTTTCCTGTACCTCATCTCACTTGATCCTCACAGAAGTCCTGGAGTAGGTATATGGGAGACTCGATGGAATACTATTTTCTTTTCATTAGTCGGAAAATGGAGATTTAGAAAGCTTAGAAACTTTACCCGACTGAAAAGAAGAAATGGTGGACTATGAAAATGACTTCAGGTTTTCTGACTGTGCAGAATATATTAATAGTCAAACACTGCTATACTTAAATATTTTACCTTTTGTTCTCTCTGCATGATCTACAATAATAATCTGTTTCATGATGATATTTACTGCAGTGTTGCTAACAATTATCTGAAAGAGAAGTTGGGGTGCTTCAATGGGCTGGAAAAAAGTTTAGCTAACTCAGAAAGCAGGTCTAATTAAGCAAGTTTATTCTATCTATCTCTACCTACCTACCTACCTACCTACCTACCTATCTATCTATCTAAACAGGTAATAAGCCCAATCTGTACAGCAACTGGGGAAAAAAAATTGAAAACAGGAGGAGAGCCTAAAGGGAGCTTTGGGACACCGCAAAATAAAGTAACATACATATAACAGGGCTGCCAGAAGAACAAGAAGAACAGCAAGAATTAGAAAATCTATTTGAAGAAATAATGAACAGAAAACTTTCCTAATATGGGGAAGAAAAAAGTTACACCAGGACAGAGAATTCCAAGCAAGATGAATCTCAAAGACCCACATCCAGACATGTCATCATTACAATGGCAAAAGTTAATGAAAAGAATCTTAAAGACTGCAAAAGAGAGACAGAGTTACCTACAAAGGATCCCCCATCAGATTATCAAATGATTTCTCAGCAGAACACATCAAGCTAAAAGAGAATGAAAGGAGGTATACAAAGTGATGCAAAGCAAAGGACTGAATCCAAGAATACTCTATCCAGCAAGACTATAAATCAAAACTGAAGGGGAAATCAAGAGCTTCACAGATAAAAAAAAAAAGGGCTAAGAGAGTTTATCACTACCAACCCAACAATGCAAGAAAATGCTAAAGGGAATGCTGAAAGAAGAAGAAATATAGAAAGGGAGGAAGGAAAACAGGCATAATACAGAAATGGCTACAAATATGTATCTATCAATAATAACAAACATAAATGGATTAAATGCTTCAATCAAAAGACATAGAGTGAATGAATGGACAAGAACACATGATCCATATATATGCTGTCTATATGAGATCCATCTCAGAACAAGGGACTCACACAGACTGAAAGTGAAGGGATGGAAATATCAGGCAAATGGAAATGAAAAAAAAAAAAAAAAAAAAAAAAAAAGCTAGGGTAGCAAAACTTATATCTGGCAAAATAGACCTTAAAGTGAAGATCATAACAAGAGACAAGAAAGGCCACTGCATAACTCTAAAGGGATTGATACAACAAGAGGATATAATTCTGGTAAACATTTATTCACCCAATGCAGGAGCGCCAAAATACAGAAAGAAAAAAAAGAAACAAAAACTCCTGGAAGATATTAGGAGTGAGATTGATAGCAACACAATCATAGCAGGAGACTTTAATACCCCATTAATATTACTGGATAAATCCTCTAGACAAAAAATTAGCAAAGAAACAGCAATCCTAAATGACTCACTAGATTAGATGGACTTAATTGACATCTTTAAAACATTCCAACCCAAAACTACAGAATATTCATTCTTCTTAAGTGCATATGGGACACTTTTAAAGAGAGACCACATATTGGGACACAGGCAAAGTCTCTCCAAATTCAAGAGAATTGAAATCATACCAAGCATCTTATTAGATCACAATGTCATAAAATTAGAAATCAACTTCAGCCATGGTTGGCAAACTGCTGCTCTCGAGCCACATGCAGCTCTTTGGCCCCCTGAGTATGGCTCCTCCAAAATATCACAGCCTGGGCAAGTAGATTTTGAAGAAGTGGCATTTAGAAGAAGTTTCAGTTTAAAAAATTTGGCTCTCAAAAGAAATTTCAATCATTGATATTTGGCTCTGTTGACTAATAAATTTGCCGACCACTGAACTAAGTATAAACAATCACAAAAATTCAAACACTTGGAAGCTGAATAGCATACTATTAAACAATCAGTGGGTACCAAAGAGATCAAAGAAGAAATAAGACACATGAAACAAATTACAATGAAAACACAACAATCCAAAATCTTTGGGACACAATGAAATCAGTCCTGAGAGGGAAGTTCATAGCATTACAGGTCTACCTCAAAAAAACAAGAAAAACTGATAATAATACAT